AATGGAGTGTGAGGGGTGACGGTACAACATGACACGAATAACAGCAGCTCTCTGTGTCTGTGCATGTATGTTTGTGACCTCTTTTAAGCCCGTTAAATCCACAAACACTTCCACGGTCTGCAATTACCAGAGCTGTGCCCGAAGCGTGCTGTTAAATTGGGTGTGCCACAGGGATGTGTTTTCCGACACGGTTATTTAACTCTTACACTTTTTAATGAGAAGCCACTTTTTGAATTCAGGACTTTGAGGCAACAAGGAGCATGCAGAATGAAATGAGTGTCAGCCAGGACAATTTGTCATTTGACATACAGTTGCTCTTAAATTGCATTTGTTGCAGAAAAGCCAACGAGACATTTTGACAGCTGTACCTTATGAACGATGAGCTCGTGGGTGCCGTCGGGCAGAGTCCGCCCGTCTTCCTGCATTAGAGGAACGAACGAGAAGCCGAACAGCTTCTTTTCCCCCTTGTCTTTTGCTGGAGAACACAAACACTGTATATCACAAGCCAAATCCATTGAAAACTCCTTAACAAGAAAATACAGTTTTTATGCTGGAACTAAATATTGACATTTAATCTGGAGCTTTAGGCCACTACATGTCTGTGACCCTTCTTGACAATATCAGGAAAAATAGTCACAGCCATACAGAAAATATGTTGTGTTTTGGATGCTGGTGTTAATGAGCAATACATGCTTGGTAAACCAGTCATCAAAATGCAATGATTAAATTAACAATTCATATACCTTAATGACTACATTGTGCAGTCTTTTCGTAATTCTGAGGAAGAATGAATGGATAATGTACAATTTTTGGAAAATATTATATATATAATGTAAAATATACATATATATGTATGTGTACATATATTACAATTAATTAATATATATTAAATAAAAATAATAATATTTACCATTATTATTTTATAATTAAAATAATTATTTTATATTATTTTATTATTTATTCATAGAATTTACAAATGTAAAATTGTGATTACACTTTTTAAATAATGGTTTATTACCTTTTTACATTTATTCATAACGTCACTGTCTTTGTTATCTTGCTTAAACCCGAACTTTTGGATTTATTTTTCTCTTTGAGTCATGCCACTTACAGAGGCATAAGTGTCTTTAGACAGGAAAAATCGCAAAAAAC